CGGAGCCACTGGGCCGTGCCGATGCAGGTCCCCGGATGCCTTCCGCCTCTACCCGCCGGCCTTGGAGGTGGCCGGCGACGACGTCAAGCAGCTGCGGAGGGCGGCCGCGGCGGTGATGGCGGGCCCGGGCATGCAGGACCGGCGCCACCCGAACATGCTCCCACTCTGTGCGCGTCGGGCCCCGCCAGGTCGACGCGCAGGCTCAGTTATATATACATATTTATATATATGGTTATATGTATATGTGTATATGTCTGTACATGTGTATATACAGATGTGTATATATATATATATATATACATAGCATTAGCATGGCATCCTGCGCTCCACAGGAGGCCGCCTCGCTGGGGGACGAGGGCTGCAAGCAGCTCGAGGCCTTCGGGAGGGAGGTGAACTCCATGCTCGACACCATGGGCTCTGCCCAGGTGGCGGCGACCGTGCGCGGGGACCGGGTGCTGCTGCGTGGCGACGGGCCCCTGGCGCAGGGGATCTCGATCGCGGTGGACAAGGACCTGCAGTTCAGCCTCGGGGACACCCTGGACGAAGCCGTGGACTTCCCGTATTGCCTGCTGGAGGTGGCCAGCGACAGCGGCGAGGTCTCTGGCGACTGGCTCGAGGAGCTGCGCAGGTACGGCGCCATGCGCAGCGTCGAGGGCTTCAGCATCGGCGCTCACGCGGTGGCGGCGCTGCACAAGGACGAGGTGAAGCCGCCGGACTGGCACTGGGGAATTCAAAAGGTAGTGATACCGCTACTCCCCAGACCTCTCCTGGGGTGCGTTCTGACCAGAATTTCGAGGCGAATCCGACGGTGGCGGCGAGGGCCTCCGGGGAGGCCCAAAAAGGGAAAAACGAGGAAAGGGTAGAGGTATGGGTACCTCTTCCTCTTCTGAGGTACCAGAACTTCGCCTCCATCGAGACCTCCGTGCCGCCCGAGACATGGGGCCTCAAGCTGGAGGTCCGCCGGAGCACCAGCACGCACCACGCGGGTGCCCTTGCCGCCGTGCCCGCCTCCAAGCCTGCCCCCGCCGCGCCCAAGCCGCCGCAGCCGCCGCCGGCGGCCCTCTCCGGGCCCGCGGTGCCGGTGGTGCAGGAGTGGGGGCGGCAGGGGGGTGATGACTAGGAGGCCCAGACATGATCGCGTCGTAAAAAAATCAGGACGGCAAGTTTTTCGACGTTTTCGGCCCTTGGGGGCCCTTACCAGGCCCAGGGACCGTCAAGAAACGACTCAGGATGAAAAACCGGCCCCAGGGAAAGGGTCTGGACTTCCAGGGACGCCGTCCTGAAAAAATTAGGTACACGAATCCACACTCGTTTCGAGAGTAAGCATGGCGCGAATGTTCATACCACGCGGCGGGTCTCGCGGATCGAGGGGCCGTGTTCATGTACATAGTTGGGCGCGTGCGTCCTTTGTGGGCTCCCCAACAGAGGGGGGGGATGACTAGGGGGGAATCTCATGGCGCGGGCCATGATATTTCCCGAGATTAGGCGCCTCTTCTCATTTCATTACGTCCCTGGCCCACCCCCCTGGGCCGCGCACATGCCGCTGGCCATGATTTGCGCCCCCTTCTCTTGGACGCCCCCCTCTTTGCCGCCCCCGACAGGAGCAGAGCCTGGAGCCGAAGGACTTCCTGGCCTCCGAGAGGATCGGGGGTGGGCAGAACCCCCCGCCCCGACACGTCGATTCGTGAATTGTGCGTTTTCGGTTCGCGAGAGGGCGCCGCGGCCGCCATCTTCCAGGCTTGCGCCCGCCAGGTTTGCGCCCAGGGTCGTGTTCACGAAACCACGTTTTGCTGGAGGGGGTTCTGCCCATCCCCGAAAGGACCTTCCTGGAGTGGGTGAGCACGACGGTCATGCTCGCCGTGATGGGCATCGGTCTGTGGAGGTGCTAGGGCTACTAGGGGAACGAAGAATGCCATAGACATCAAAACTCGGAGGTCCGCGCGGATTGCTCGGATCCGCGCTGGCTCCCCCTCCCTGGCGCGCGGAGCGCGCCAGGGGCGGTGCCGGAGGCACCGCCGAGGGGTCCAGGGGCGAATCCGAGAAATCCGCGCGGACCTCCCTGCTCATCTTCCTCCTCCCTCCTCCTCCTCCTCCTCCTCTCCTCCGCCTCCTCCCCTCCTCCTCCTCCTCCTCCCCCTCCTCCCCCTCCTCCTCCTCCTCCTCATCCTCCTCCACCTCCTCCTCCTCATCCTACTCCTCGTCCTCCTCCTCCGAGTTTTTATGTTTATGGCATTGTTCGTTCCCGTAGGTACAGCCTCAGCCTCGGCGAAGCAGAGCCCGCTGTGGGCGGGCTGCTCAACGCCACCAGCTCGAGCGCCTACTCCCTGGGGTGCTACGGCCTCTTCATGGTCCTCGTGGCGCTCGGCTTCATGTGGTGGGCCGTGTTCGTCCACCTTTCGCGCGTCAAGGCCGTTGAGGCCGGGAAGGCGCCCGAGTCCATCTTCAACAGCCCGAACGCCCCGACGGTATTCGCCGCTGCCGTGTGCACTACGCTGGTCGCCCAGATGGCAGTGAAGGCCGTCCCGCTGTTCACCGCCGTGTTCGCAGGGTCCAGCGGCGACTCCTCCTGAGTTGGCCAGGACAGGTCATTAGTGTAGTTATCGTTTTACACGCGTTGGCATTTCGTATCCTGGCAGCGGAGGCACGGAGAGCAGCGCTCGCTCCATCCCGCAGTAGCCAGGCAGCGTCTCAGCTCACCAGCCATGGCTCATCGCCGCCCCATGCCGGCAGCCCGCAACTCCTGCAGTGAAGTGCCATGCTGGGGCCCCAATCTCCATTGACACGGGGACATTGCCACCCTACCCACGATGCAGCCAGGGGGCAGACCCCCCTTGCGGAAACAAGAACTCCCTTCCACTCCTAGCTTTCCCCGCTGTTCCGATGATGTCCCAGTCTGCGATGTTCCCGTTTACGGGGCCTGACCATTTTGGCGATGGCCATCGCTTCAGGTCACGGTTCTTCTCCCAGGGAGGGGTGCTCCCCGGGTGGGGGGGGGTCACAGCTTTCGGGACCCCCCCCCCTCCTTTCGCCCCCTTGTGCGACCCCCCCCCCTGGAGCGGGTCAAAGGGAAGGGCCCCCACTTGGACTCGATTACGACGTTCGCTGCTCGATTTCCCTCTGGCTGGAAAGCTTGCGGGGGAGCGGCGACGACGACACGACTCAAACGGAAAAGCCTCTCACACACACCGACAGGGACGGCGGAGTCACCATCTTCTATACAGAGAACTCGGGGCACGTCGTGCCTTGGGGCACGGTGGCACAGGAGGAAGAGGGCCAGGCTGAGGAGGAGGAGAAGGAGGAGGAGGAGGAGCAGCAGCGGCAGCAGAAGCAAGATAGCATCAGGAGCAGCTGGAAGAGGAACATGCCGAAGAAGAGGGGATGAGGAATGAGGAGGAGGAGGAGGAGGAGGAGGAGAAGAAGAAGGAAAAAGGACATGAGGAAGGAGAAGAGGAGGATGAAGGGTAGGAGGAGGAGAGAGGTGAGAGGTAAGAAGAAATAGATGAGAGAAGAGAGCGAGGATAAGAGTAGGGAGGAGGACGAACGAGGGAGAGCGGCCTCTCTCCTCCGGCAGGGCGCTCGCCTTCATTTGGTCCTCTGGGCGGCATGATCTGAGGCATAATGCTGGCTTGTGGGAGTTCAAAGGAGGGTCTTTGGACTGGAGGATTCATTGCAGCATCGTGCATCCTGGGTAGACTATTGTTCTCCTCTCTCTCCTCCTCCTCCTCCCCCTCCTCCTCCTCTTCCTCCTCCTCTTCCTCGTCCACCTCCTCCTCCTTCTTTTCATCCTCCTCTTGCTCCTCCTCTTCCTCCTCCTCCTGCTACTCGTACTATTACTCGTACTAGTACTACTACTACTACTACTACTACTACTACTGCTGCTACGACTGCCACTACTACTACTACTACTACTACTACTGCTACTACTACTAGTACTAGTACTAGTACTAGTACTAGTACTAGTATAGTAATATGTACCAGTCCTATACTACTTACTACTACTTACTACTTACTAATAATACTACTACTACGAAGTACTGACTATTTTACTACTACTATACTACTAATTACTAATTACTACTAATAATACTCCACGACATACGACTCCGCTAAGGACTACACTGCGACTCGACTACGACTACTACGACTAGTACTACTACTACTACTACTACTACTACTACTACTACTACTACTACTACTACTACTACTACTACTACTACTATTACTATTACTACTACTACTACTACTACTACTACTACTACTACTACTACTACTACTACTACTGATGCTGCTACTACTACTACTACTACTACGACTACGACTACGACTACTACTACTACTACTACGACGACTACCACTACTACTACTACTACTACTACTACTACTACGACTACTACTACGACTACTACAACTACTACTACTGCTACTGCTACTGCTACTACTACTACTACTACTACTACTACTACTTCTACTACTACAACCTCTATCTAGACTATGACTGCTGCTACTACTACTGCTACTACTACTACGACGACGACGACTACTAGTACTACAACAACAACAACTACGACTACTACTACTACTACTACTACAACTACTACTACTGCTAGACTATTTTTTACGACCACTCATATTACGTGTATTGGTACTTCCTTTTTTTTTTAGTTATACAACTACATCGCCCACGACTGCGACTACGACTACGACGATTACTTCTGCTACTACTACTACTACTCCTAGTACTACTACTACTACGACTACGACTACTACTACTACTACTACTACTACTACGACTTCTTCTACTACTTCTACTACTACTACTGCTACTGCTACTACTACTACTACTACTACTCATACTAAATACTATTACTGCTACCACCTACTACCTACTACCTACTACGGCTAAGACTACGACTACGACTACGACTACTACGACTACTACTACTACTACTACTACTACGACTACTACTACTACTACTACTACTGCTACTACTACTACTACT